TGAAAAAAAGCAACTAATATCAATTCATTATTTACATCCCTGGTAACGCGTTTACAAAATTAACAATGATTCTTGTATGATAAATATATAGAACATCAAATTAGAACAGTGATTCGACAAATAAATAATTCACCAATGCATTACATATAAAATTACACTATATATAACTTAAAATTATTTCAATAATATTAGTCCGGACTACAGTCAATGGTTATAATAATAAATGCCAGTACATATTGTAAATGAATTATTTTTTTATATGTAGAACTAGTTTTATAGATAACGCCAACATTTACTCGCACAAATTGGAGACGACAAATGAGACATAGTTGGTCCATAAATATAAGTAACAAACTTTATAACTGCACATACACAAACACATTTTAATTTAAACAAAAAAACCCAGCACAGGGGGGTCGCGGCACAGTTGTGACGTGGTATAGTTGGATCTAGTATAATGATATATGACAGTGATTAAAATCACTATCAAAAATAAACGCTTCGATGCAAATCTTTAGATAGTGTTTAATTTTAAAAAAATTGGTGTTTTATTCCAAAAGCTACTTGATTTGCTGGTTCCTTAATATCTCGATTAAGATAAAGTATGTCGAATGAAAAAGGGTTTATTAAAAAATATTATTTCTCATAAAAAAATTGTGTGGATCCATAAACTTTTCAATAAGTTATAGCATTATAAAGTTAAAAATGTAAAAAATAAAATTGAGAATTTTCACACGAAAATAGCATTCGGTTGCCGTTTTCACCATGAAGACAAGTCTAGAGGTCAAATTTTTTTTTTTCAAATTAAAGTACATTACATTAGCTTTAATTTAAGATATATATAAAAGTGTCAGACCTTCCGGAACATTTTCAAAAGTTAATTTGAAAAAGTAAATTTTTTGTGAAAAAGTTGTCATTTTAAATCCCCCCTTGTGGGCAGAAAAAAGGTCGAATTTACAAAAAAAATATACCAAATAATAGGTACAGACATCAAGCATCTATATAAAAAAGAATTATATTGATATGTTCATTTTTGAAAAAGTTA